TTTGATGCTTTATTAAGAAAAAAATTCCACATTCCTGCTTTAATAGATGCACCGCATATCCTTCCTTGTTTCCAGGGTTCCTAAATGATGATGACTATGATAATGACGAGGAAGAAGATGGAGCTGCTGGTGACTATGTGCTTGATGCTGAAGGAGCGCGCTTGACTGATAACAGTGGGTGGTCTTCCCGTACCAGGTATTCCAGACCCTCGTATGTTATTTTCTGAGATATTGTATCTTTTATTTCTATATTCGGACCATCTCTAAAATCCAACAAGTGTTTATGATGTTCTTAATGATTCACTCCCTTTTGCTGTGTGCTTCTTCACCGACTGAAGGCTTTCATCTTAAATCTGAATTTACCACAGTGTGTCTTTTATTGTCCAATATTAAAATCTGAAGTTGCTAACATGATGTCTTCTTTCAGAGCGGTTGCCAAGTATCTCCAGACAGTCTTTACCAAGGAAACCCATTGTGTAAGAGATGCTCTTTCCTTAGACAGCCTTTTGGTTGGGAAAACGCGCAAGGAAGCATGTAGGATGTTTTTTGAGTCTTTGGTAAGTTTCACTTCTTACGATACATTCTCTGCAATGTTTTTTTATTGGGTTGTAATTGATAAAGTGCATGACCTATTTTTGGCTTATTACTATCCCCTTGGTTCCCATGACATTGGGAATCAATGTCATGAGATGACCCGGGGGTGCTCCGGTGCCCCATTCGTAACATTGACGGTTCCTACCTCCCGGGTAAACCCCCCTCACCCCGACCCGACCCGACCCGAACACCCCCCTACCCCCTTCTATTGCACCTTCCTAGTTAATTTTGGCTTTGGAGTCAAGGGTCGGGTCGGGAACCAGCCCCTATTACTATTTACCATTTCCTCTTCTACGGATTCTCATAGCCGTTGCTGTATTTGGATAGGTTCTTAAAACGAAGGATTACGTCCATGTAGAGCAGGCATTCCCCTTTGATGATATCACCGTTAAGCCGCGAATGCAGCTTATGAAATCTGAGTTTTGAACAGCGACGTTGAAGTAGGAAACAAGGCATGTAAAGTTGGGGAAGTCATTATAATTCATATTGAAAGCTTTGGTCTTGTTTGGAGAAGGGGGGAATGGGAGTTTTTAAGTTTTTTTTTGAGAGAACAGGGGCAATGGTGTTGCCCCTTTTTTTAATCATTTCCAGTTAAATTAATAGGGTAGAAGCTTAGATCATTTGCGGCAGGTGCTGATGTCATTTGGATGTAATACCTATTTATATACATATATACGTATATATTATTATATGTATATAAGCTGTAAAATTATGTATCTGAAATTGACAATGCTGGTGATATTGTAGGTCTATTCATAAATTCCACTTTCATCTCTTGATATTCGGAGATTTGGAATGTTGGAACCACAAGAAATAGTGTTACCACTTTGGTGTTCCTCTAATATATATTGTTAGTATCTCTGGTGGAGCCAAAGAACTATAATAATTTGGCTCTGGAATATGATAAAATAAGGAGATGTAATCTTACGCCAACTCAATTGGTGTAAAATTGGAGTACTTACGGTGCTCTAATCATAAAATTATTTGTTCTTAACACCATAATTTTCCTGATAACCCTTTCTAGCTCGTCCCATACTTAGTGCATACCCGCATCTTGCTAATTTCATTACTCCAAATTAGGGTAAACCATTTGACCTGAAAGTCAATAGAATTTGATGTAATGAAATTGATGGGGCATGGGGAACAGGGTGGGCTAGGGGGTTTATCACGAGATTAGGGGTACAAAATAATCAATTTTATAATCAAAGCACCGTAAGTTTTCTAATTGAATTAGTGTAATAACTTTATGTATGCATTTATGACAAGATAAGCCTCTTTTCCATAATAATAGGCACGAAATGATTTTAGGGTAAAAAAGGAATACGACAGAAAAGGATGTATTCATATAATTATTTGATGCTAAATTAGACAAATAAATATTCGGAGAATTTACTAAAATAGGATTAAAACATAATAACTTTATCAATATAGAATCATACGGAGTATATTTTTATTTATCAATGTAGGACTACTGATCATTATTCATTAGTCATTATTCAAGTAAATGTCTATCATCACTGGACATTATTCCTCTCACTAGACATTATAAAGTACTCCCTCTATCCCAATTTATAGTGCCTGTTTCGGTTTATGATGTTGGACTGAAATTATTTTCAAATCATTTTATATGACAAATGGTATAAAGTTAAAAAATAAAAATTACATATTAAAATACTACATGAAAAGATGTACAAAATTAGTAGTGACAATAGTATTTTATTTTATCAAATTGCTAACGAAAATAGAGAAAGATAGTGAATGAAATTTGACCCTGTGAATAATTTACAGGCACTATAAATTGGGACGAGGAAGTACTATTTATGGAATAAAAATATTTAACTCATACATTGGGAAATGTCTTATCTTTTAGTCCTATTAACGGAGCATGTTGGGATAATAAACACTAAGAAATTTCTTCATATTGGTGAGAAAAAAAAGAAAATTTTTATAGATCCGATCAACAAATTTGGCTAGGGAAAGTAATTTATAAAAAATATGATTTAACCAAAAATAATTTCAATTACCTTTTGAATAAAATAAATTTTATTCAATCAAATTGAGTGACGCTATTCAATCAATCAGACATCACAAAAGACGATATTTTGTCGGATCTTTTCAATTGCGGAAGAAGGAAGGATAAATCCATGTGTACACCACTATTGTACACCATATGTACACCATATAAAAGCCCACCCCACCCCCTACCTTTTCAGTCAATCCCCCACCCCAATACGTCTCCCTCTTCTCTCTACCCCCTATCTTCTTCACCGTCTTCACAGCTCCTCCCTCGTCAACATCGTCATCGTCTTCGCCTGGGCTCTCCCTCGACAAAAAAATCAGCCCTCCACAAGTTATTCAAATTCGAAAGGTAAGTTGTTCAAAATCTAGGGTTATCATTGCTTTTCGGTCAATTCATTTATCAAAATACTAATTTTTGTCTAAATTGATTTATGAGTTTGCTATTTTTGGGCAAAATATTGCAGAAGCAATTTTGTCATTCAAAATCTAAGGTTCCCAGTGTATTTCCCCCCTATGTTGTATTAAGTATCATACGTGTGAAGTATAGCATGCTGTCTGTGAAGTATATATAAATGCTTCCTCTGTGTCAGTGAAGTATGTATAAACGGTTCCTTTGTGTCTGTGAAGTCCTAATTAATCATTCATCATTGTCTGTGAAGACATGTTGTTCTTTTTTCATGATTCTTGTTTGTGAGACACCTCCATGATCCTACCCCCGTCTTATATAAAATGTTCTAGTAATATAATTATTATTTTTATTTCAGGTTTATTCACAATGCTCTTACTTTTTATTTCAAAATTAGTTTTTTTGTTTGTAATCTCAGATTTAATCGCTCAAATCTGTTTTTATTGTGAAATTAGCCTTAGCTTTTTGACTGTGAATCTTTTTTTTAAAACT